GCCCCCCCCCCCCCGCTTTTGCTTGGGAGAATGCCCACCAACTGGATTATAGGTTACCAACAGCCCTTTTCAGGCCCCTCCCCACCCTAGGCTTTCTGTACCCCAAGCCTCACTCCCTAATCAGGGATTATGCAGGATCTAAACTGATCTGAGCTGATCCCTGGGTAGCTAGCCTGCCTCCACAGCCTCTGCTGGCTGTGAGGGTGGGGGCTTCTGGCCAGTGGGAGGGCTGTAAACCTGCACTGGCTCCAGCTAGATCCTCACAGCTTCCCTGGGCTGCTTGGCCTCTTCCTAGGAGAGCTGTAGGCAGAGTTGAGTCTCCTACTCTGGGCCTCAGCCAAACCCTTCCCATCACTCTGGCTTTCTCCCTGGATTTGTGGGGTATAGGGGCCACTTGTCCTTGGCTTCAGGCTTCTCTACCTTGGTATCTCTTTGTGCAGGGCTCCTCAATCTCTCTCTCATGCTTGATATCCAGTGATGTCTAGGCAGCAGTCATTCTGCAAGTCAGAAGCTATACCCACTCACAGGCAGCGTCAGCTTCCCTACCAGTCAGATGGGCCAGTGGCTCTCACAAAGGATGTTATTTCCCAAACTCCAACAGTGACCACCTCTGACTGTGTTGTGACCATAGTTCTCCTCTTAGTTTATTTAACATTTCCTGACTCCCACTTTTAGCTTGTTTGAAAACAACATTACTTCATTAAATAGAAGGTGAGTTCCACTTACCACAGTGTAAGGTGACAGTAGAATCCAAGCATGCAGGCCTGGCATGGTAGCCTATGCCTTTGATCCCAGAACTCAGGAGGCAGAGGTAGGTGTATCTCTGAGTTCAAGGCCAGCCTGGTCTATGTAGTGAGTTCTAGACCAGCCAGGGATACATAGTGAAACCCTGTCTCAAAAAATAAAGCAAAACAAAAACTACCAACAACAACAAAAAAATCCAAGCGTGCTTGAAACCAAACCAATTCCGGCCACTTGTGTGCTGAGGAATGCCTGTGGCAGAGTGGGGCAGCGCAGTCTATTAAAAAGGGATTAATGAGCACCAGGAAATACTTTGGACATGTGGAGTACAGAGGGGACAGTCTGGCTTTGTGGAAGGAGTTGGGTGCAGGTACAAAGACCAGGCCAGAAGCCTAAGTCTCCTCCAGAAAGAGCACCTGTGAGGGGGGCATGAGGTGCCGGGGAGCAATGGGAAGAGCAGGTACTGCTTTGAGAACTGAAGTGTCAGGTGCTTCCCTGGGATCCAAAGAGTAAGGACAGGAAGAGCCATTGTATGCTTGGCACAGAGCCTTGGTACTCTCCTGGAGCTGGGCACACGGATGTGGGACTGGAAGCAGGAGCAAGAGGGAGCTTCTGGAGCTCACACCCACTCACCTAGACTCAGCTTTCCATAGGTGACCTTGCTGGAGGAGGGAATGGGCAATGGTGGTAACCCTGCCCTGAGAAATGGTGACAAGGTTTAGATTCAAGAGTAGGCAAGGAACTGAAACAAGATGATCACAGAAGGGGGCTGGGTTAGGACAGGAGGCTTTGCCAAGATAGGAGCAGCCCATGAGTGCACACGTGTATATACATACACCCAGCATGGAGACACTTACATGCATTCAGTGCACAAATATGCTTGTGTGCATTCTCATGTGCACACAGATATTCAACTCATGTACTGAATACACACATACATAGTATTATGGAATTTTTATGCATGAGCTCCTGCCCAAGTACACATGTGTGCATTCATGAGCACGTATATGCATGTGCTCTTACATAAGTGCATACAAGTCCTTGAAGGTGCCATCCAGCAACTTCTGCTGTCATTGACTAGGTCATCAGAGGAAGCACAGCCCTGTATCCATGAGCAGACATACATGGGCACAGGTGGGCTTTGGTGCAATGGGCAGCCTCTGCTGTGGATTCAGTCCCCCTTCCAGGAGGGCATCACCTGGTGGGATGAGCACCCAGACCCATTGATGCTTGAAGCACCTGCAACAGAATTATTATATGTTTCCAGTTTTAAATTCTTCATGATTAAGATTAAAAGCTCATCTCAAAGCCAAGGGTTTGTGCTCAGGAGAAGCATTGTGCCTGGGGGTTGCAAGACAGTCAGGGTGTAGTCTGCCACGGCAGCACATGGCCCAGGACTACCAACAAATGGAAGCAGGAAAACCAAACAGGGTATCCAGAGACAGCTTGCTCTTTCTGCTGAAGAGTCTTAGGTCATCTTGCCCTTCAGCCTTCACTCAGAAACGACCCCCCCCAACCCAAGAATCCCTGAAGCCTCTGACTGGTGGTGGTTCTTTTCCACCAAAGTGTTGTTGGAAGAAAGACACATTGAATGAATGAGGCATGGATGGGAGAAGGGGCAGAAGAGCAGGTCAGGGGAGAGCTGAGTGGAACCTACAAGTTAGGACCAGTGGATACAGGGGAGTAAATAATAGGGTAGGTTATGGGCAAGCTTTTTCCCACTTTGCATTTTCTAGACATATTGTAATGTAGATGGAGTATTTGTCACTTAAAAATATTTCATTTGAAGGCAGAGGCAGGCAGATCTCTGTGAGTTCAAGGCCAGCCTGACCTACATTAGTGAGTTCCAGGTTAGCTGGGGCTACAGGGAGACCCTGCCTCAAAAAGACACACACACACACACACACACATGTTTCATTTGAGCATCTTAACTTTGCACTTGGAAATAAGGAAGTCATTGGTGGCAGAGGAGGAACCAGTGTGATTGGGACAGTTTGGGCATGGGTGCCAAGGTGGGTGCTACCATGTGAATACCACCTGCCTCTAGCCTCCCCCAAGGCCCTTTACCTGGGTTCTATTGGGGGCCGTCCAAGGGTAGAACAGGCTAATGCCCAGCAGTCACCCCTGTTTCCCCTGCAGCCCGGAAGCAGGAAATCATCAAGACCACAGAGCAGCTCATCGAGGCTGTCAACAATGGCGACTTTGAGGCCTATGCGTGAGTCTCCGGGGGGCTGGGGAGGGGGGTTGCAGAGGGTGAGGATGGAGGATGGGGCCCCTCCTCACTTGGGTTTGCCCCCCAGGAAAATCTGTGACCCAGGCCTGACCTCATTTGAGCCCGAAGCTCTGGGCAACCTGGTCGAAGGGATGGATTTCCACAGATTCTACTTCGAGAACCGTGAGTGAGGAAGTCAGGGATGGAGATGAGGGGGCCCTCAGTCCGAGGCCAATCTGTGGCTAGTCACAGATTCAAGCGGCCCCTGTGAAGAGGAGTCAAGGTGGGAGGAGTGGGGGTTGCCTCAGCCCCTGGTGTTCTCAGTGCAGAGCACACACTTGTCCACAGTGCTGGCCAAGAACAGCAAGCCGATCCACACGACCATCCTGAACCCACACGTGCACGTCATTGGTGAGGACGCAGCCTGCATCGCCTACATCCGCCTCACGCAGTATATAGACGGGCAGGGCCGGCCCCGCACCAGCCAGTCCGAAGAGACCCGCGTGTGGCACCGCCGAGATGGCAAGTGGCAGAATGTACACTTCCACTGCTCGGGAGCGCCGGTGGCCCCACTGCAGTGAGGTGAGCCCCTAGGGTCCAGGGCCAGCTGGTGGAGGGGGTACCCTGAGGGGTGGGCTGCCAAGGCCTGAGCTTAATGGGACCCAAATCCTACTCATCAGAACTCTTAGCACCCATGACAAGGGCTGCCTAGGTAATGGGTGGAGGGGCCAAAGCCCAGGTCAAACTTAGGGTGCCTGAACTCTCTCCTGGCAGGCCCCTTCCTAAATGGGGATTGACTTGCTCACTTTCTGCCAGGGCCCTTTGCAAATACAGCCTCAGGTCCTCATGGCGGGGGTGGTGTGCTGAGGAAGGTGACCCATCCCCCTGTTTCAGAGCTGCGCCTGGTTTCACCGGACAGAGTTGGTGTTTGGAGCCCAGCCGCCCTTGGGCGCACGGCCTGCCTGTCGCATGTTTGTGTCTGCCTCGTCCCCTCCCCTGGTGCCTGTGTCTGCAGAAAAACAAGACCAGATGTGATTTGTTTTTAAAAATAAGATGACAACGACAACCACACATAAAAAAATTGACATCGGATGAAATAGGAAAAAAAATAACTAAAGAAAGGAAAAAGCTGTAAAAAATCTGGCATTTGTGGGGCCATTCCCCCCACCCAAGCTCCACAATGTGTCCGTTGCGCTCCTGGCTTTTTGGGGACCCTCAGGGCGTAAACGTGCCCATGCTGACCGTGTTAGTCTGTAGGTATTGCACTCACCCCACACCTTGGGCGTCTGCATCCTCCCTCCCACGCATGGGCCCTGTGTGTGTGCTAACCTGGCTGTTGTGATGTCAGGTGTCTTGGGGAGGGCTGGGGGCTGCCTCCTTTCCCGCTAGTTGTGCCTGAAAGTGCTGCTGTTTCTGCTTTCCCCTCCTTTCCCTCATCCTGTGAAGGGCTAGGTGGGGGCTCCTCTAGCCAAGGACCTACCATCTGGCATCAGCGGCCCTTTGCCCCATGGAGTGTGTAGGAGAAGCCTGCCCTCATGCCCATCAGAGAAGCACATGGGCTCTCAGCTCTGGTTCTTTGGGGGATTGAGGTATGGAGGTACACAACTTGCTTCCAGGCCTCATGCCTGGTAAGAGTTGGCTAAGAAGACATGTTGGCAGCAGTTCCCACCTATCTAGCCATGAAGAGAGGACTGGGCCAGAGGCTGGCCTCCTTCCTATTTGGGGCACTTGTCTCTTCCCTGCCATCCAGCAGCAGAGCAACAGTGGCCCTCCACCAGCTGGGTAGATCCTCATTGTGCAGTTGAGCAGACCCTACCAAGGACTGTGGGCCTCAAATCCTCAACAGATGCTGGGAGCAAGCCAGGCTGCATCTTGGGTTGTCTGCCTGCAGCGTGGAGGCTGGGAGCTGGAGACTTGGTTGAGAGACGCAGAAAGTGGCAAAGAGGGGCCAGAAGTGGCAAAGGGGCCGGAAGATGGGTTTTAGGCTCCTGGGCTGACAGGGTCCACGAAGATATTTGCTGAAGTAGGAGTGCTTTCATAACCTGGGCCTAGGGTAGAAGCCAGGGTAGGAGCCAGCCAGGAGCACACGGAAGGCTGAGTGGTTGGGCTGTATTATGTGAGGCCCTGCCAGGTGGGCCAGGGATACAGCCTAGAGAGAGAAGGCAGGCTGGGGGCAGAGATATGTGGGTTGGGGCCTGAGTACCAGTGGATGGAGGGGAGGGTGCATCGGGACAATGTGCCACCTCCAGGGCCCAGTGGTGCTCCCAGGTGCCGGCTGCCTGGGCTCACTGTGGGTGGCCTTGGTCCTTGGTGTTAGAGGGAACTATGGTGAGGTTGGGAACAGTGCAAAGGCAGTTGGGCCAGGAAAACAGGTATGAAGCCGGGTTGGGTGGGGGTGGTTAGGAGCCTTGATTGCAGAGGTCCAGGGGCCTCCACCCCAGTGCTGCCCACTTTAAATATATGTCATTTTCAACTAGGATTTTCTTTATCTTCTACAAATCAAGCCAAGGGAGGGGCACAAAGTGGGGAACAGGACACAGGATCCTAAACTCCAAGGGGACTGTCTACCTACAGACACTCAGTGGATGCCACTTTTCATCCACACTGTGCCCAGGACAGCTATCCCCTATCCATGGACACAGGGTAAACATCTGCCAGGCTCCATGTGAGTGGCTCCAGGCCACGGGACAGTGGCAGGGCTTGCCACGGACAGTGTGAGGCCCTGTGGCCAACCACCCTGGCATCCTGGAGTCTCCTCCTCTCCTCTCCCACTCCCTTATCTCCACAGAGCTGCCTGTCTGGGATAATTTGGGGATTGTTTTTTTTTTTTTTTCCCCTGGGGGATAATTCTTTTGCATGACCCTCTCTAAAGAGCAGGCCGCTCCTGCTCTGCTAGCTAGGTGTTTGCGGGTGGTGGCGTTGGCCGCTGGCCAGCACTGCAGCATGTTACTGCCTGCAGTGCTGGCGGCCCTCCCTCTTCTCTCTTTTTGCTGAGTTTCATTGTCTTTTCTTTCTGAGCCTTGTAGGTGTACAAAAATTATTATTTTGTTCTGTCTCGGGAAACTGCAAATAAAAAAAAAAAAACAGGACAAACTGCTTCAAGTACAGCTGGGTGCTTTATGCCGGGACCCTGCCAATCCCCTGCCTCACAATACAGAGCCCCCTGCCTTCCTGGCCCAGACAGGGCTTAGGCTCCTCCCCTAATAGTGTGGGTGGAGGGACATGGGTCCTGAGCCCCTTCGAAGTGGCTAGTGCATCATAGCCCTCCAGCTCTCCTCATCCCTTAGTCTGGCTTCCAGGCCCAAAGCTTTGGCCTTGCCAATCATCCCAGTGGCCAGTAAGAGCTGCGTCCAGGAAGGGCGATCACTAGCAAGACAGAGTCTGAGGACCAAGACCAAAGTCCTCTTGGGTTTCTCTTTTCATGTCCTATTTGACACATGCTGGCAGTTCTAGACATGTCATGTATCAAGGACTGCCCAACTCTGCTCCCGTGGGTTATGCAGGCTCATGGCACGCAAACCAGCACTCATATTAGGCAGCCACTTATGGAATCAAGAGGCTTCACAGACTCAACCTGGAGCCCAGGCTAATGATCTTAGCCAAGGGCAAAGAAACTCAAAGAGCCAGAACCCAAGACAGCCAGCAGCTGGTAAGGGTTCAGGATCTGCATGGCCAGGCACTGGGGCCTACGGGCCAAGTTTGTCCTGGTGTGAAGCAGAAAGGCCTCTGTCCCCAAGTTTTCTCCCTGCATCTACAACCCAAGTCTAGGGCAAACCTTTCCGTATAACCTGTACTAAGCTGGTCCTGTCCTCAGGCTTTGCTCAAAAGCTTGCTAAGACATGCCCCTACACCCCCAGTCCTACCACTAGGAGTAGGGAGGCACAAGGGATCCAGAACTGGCCAAAGCTTCCACTTCCATCTTGAGCATATGATTAGACACCTTCACCCTATAAGGAGGCCATCTTGGTCCCATGGGCTACATCTTGGGCAGGTGCTCTCAGGTATATGACAGGCAGGTAGCAGATCTCAAGAGCTAGTGTAACAAATCTAGGCCAGTGCCTACAAGTGCAGCAGGGACGGGCCCTGTATCTAGGGTTCCACTCACCTATCAGCTGTAATCGGAGGAGGCTTTCCAGGCCAGACCTCCCTCAGGAAGACGGCATGCTGCAGATCCTGAGCCTCCAACATGCATTATTCCTAAGGCTGTTCTCTGGATGCCAGCAGGGTAGCACTGGAGGGGTTTTAGGGATAATACCAAAGGCTAGCCATCCAGTATCCCACCACTATAGGCAAAAGGGTTTATCACTTTTCAACAGCAATTATTTGAGCAAGGATCCTTGGGCATCTGTAACCCCAAGGCGGCTCAGGTTACTCTAAAACTCTAGGCACGCAGACCAGAAAAAGCTGGCATACTGGATGCAGGGCCACTTCTTCAAGCTAGGCAGAGGGTTCTCTAGCCACAGAGACACCACATGCAGGCTGAAAGCAAGGCCTGGCTGACCTCCTGAGACCCAGATCACTGAAAACCAGCTACTGAGGCCACGCCATAACTCAGGCCATACTCCAAATTTGAGTCTTCCATCCCAACCCTAGTAAGTCAGCTGTGCCCCTCAGGGGACAAGATTTCCTTCATGCCCTACAGAAGTTCTCTCTGTGCTTGGTGGGAAGTCAGGTGTTTTAGAGCCAGCCTGCACTGAATGGGAAATGGGTAGGACAGAGCCGCCTTCCCAGGTGGGTCTCCACTGTGCAGTTCAGAGAACTGGGTTCTGAGGTAAGGATGAGGCTTCTGCTCTAGGGCTCCCTCACCTGGTTACTTGCAAAAGAGGAAATGGGATTCCACCTAGAAAGGTCTAGAGGTTTTTCCTGGACAGGATGCTGATATCTGCAGGTGGCCTCTCCCTACCCGCCCCAGGGCCTGGATTGGGCACAAAGCCTTCCCCTGAAGCTCAAAGCAAGTACAGGACCACAGTGCAATTTCAAAAGACAACTTTATATATCGAGACAGGAACCCCCTCAAACAGAGCATAAAGAAATTAGGTGTTATTAAAATACACTCTTACCAAATGACCAAACATTAGAATGAGAAACAGAATGCAGGGTGATCCATCTACTGCAGGGGCTGGGTCAGACCCTGCAGGCCAGTCAGATGCAGATGAAAGTCACCTTTTCCTACAAACTTACACTTCTACCCCTCTCCATTCTTCCCCAGCACTCTTCCGAATAGGAAGAGAAAGGCACCATCCCAGGCCCACTGTATTCCACTCAGGTATCAGCAAACAGGCTGGATATGTGACCATCCAGGGGCCTTGGGCCAGGGAGGTCTCTGGCAGTAGGAAAATGACATGGGCAGGCTACTGCAGGGGGAAGCCAAAGCCCTTTGACTAGCAGTGTCCAGAGAAAGAGTAATGGCAGGTACACCAACCAGGTAGGGAATCTCAGAATCTACAACATACCTACCCCTCATGGATCTCTGAGGGCAGCACAGCAAGCTCAGGGCAGGCATCATCAGGATGAGACAAGTTAGCTTCAAAATTCAGATGACACCAACCCTCCAGGGAGACAGGATTTCATGGATACAGCATGGAGCACAGCAGGACATGAAGAGGCAGTTCAGGGCCCAGTAACATCTAGGCTGCTCTGGCACCTGCTGGCAGTGGGCACCAGCTTAGACCAACCCCTCAGCCACCACTACCCTGAAGCTCTTTGACCAAGAAGAAGGTTGCAGACCAGAGCTGGACAGATCACAGGTGGGTGCTGGGAGTCTTCAGGCTGCTGGGACCTCTCCTAGTACCTTCATGAATGACTTGATTCCAACATGCAGTCCCCAAGCAGTTGCCAAGACAGTCTTGTACACAAAGGCAAATAAAATCCAGCTTGAGAGACAACAGCACCCACTACTTTGATTTTAGTGTTGCAAGTCAAGGGGGTATGTCTCCACACTGGACAGCTGAGGGCACCTGTGTCTGGTTCTTCTCCTGAAGATGGACACTCCCAGCTGACCATCCCAACACCAGAACAGCCCCCTTTCCTCAGCTGAATCCCAGTCTGCTGGCTCATAACCCACACACCCTGCCTATCTAGGCCCATTCCAAGTACTTCCCAAGTCATCTTTGTGGTTGGTCCTGGGTAAAAGTACTTAGGATAGGTCCTGACCTCAGCAGATGTCAATCCTAGCAGACAGACACACTAAACAGGTTTAGAATTTGAGATCCAGTGACCACTGCTCTTCATAGGACTGGCTTGGTCACTGTGATGAGCTCCCCAACCCCCACAGTACAAGGGAGCAGCAATCTCTGCCTACCCCAGCCCTACCACCTGGGACCCCTCCCCACCCCACTCACTGGAGTGTTAATATCATTAATGCACAAATGAAATTCAAAGTCATACCAAGGATTAAGAAAGAGATTCCCTCCCAGAGAGCCTTCCAGGGTTATCTACTGAGAATAAGCTCTTCAGCACCTAGAGGAGCCACTCAGTTTATGGTTTCATTTTCCTGACAATACACTTTTGAGGGCCTCAAATTCCTTCCAAAAGTCACAACCACACATATGAACTTGAACATTCCCCCCTCCCTCAAATCATCCCTCAATTCCTCTTGGTAACTTCAAAATAAAAATAGCCAGTCTGCTCCAGGTCCTCTTCTAGGGTGTCTCTTCTTCTCCAGGGACTGCAGTTCTGATGTGACGTGACGATCCAGCGCCTGCCTGTGTAGGCTGCGTCACATGATTGCACAGCATGAGTTTTGTTTCCGGGCCTTGAAAGAAAAAAAAAAAGAAGCTGAAGGGGGCCAAAGAGGGAGGGAGGTCTGAACCTCAGAGGATGTGGCAGATGAAGTTCCACTGAAGCAGAGAGAGAAATGAGCAACAACCAGAGGGAGGGAAACAGACAGGGGAATGGTCTTCATGGTTTCAGAGAAAGCTTCCCACCAGCAGACGACACCAATAACTTCCACTGTTAGTCAGGGATTCTTATCTTTTTCTAATAATGCTCTCAATAAGTAAAGTTCCTGCTGGCAGACCAGGTATAAGCAAAGAACCAATGATACAAATTGAATTGGCTGAGTATCTCAACAATGCTATCTGACCCTCCCTGGTAGTGCTTTCTGGAAGGGGGTCTCAGAGAGAATAGATGTGGTCCCTCCCTGCTTGTGTTTGCAGGGACATTGCTTTCTGGTCACAGGCCACGCTCCTAACCCACCTGGCCATTTCCATCTAATATGCAACAGAAAGTAAATATGCCTGCAGAGTGTCTTCCACTGTTCCATAAGAGCCAAGAGCACACTGTCTGCACTAGCAGATTATAAGTACAGCCTGGAGAGAAAACAGCAATCACCAGGAGGCATCCTGCTAATGAAAGGGAAATGTACTAGAAGACTAAGAAACTCCTTAGAAAAGTGGGCTGCTGATGTCTTAAGGGCTTCAGCCTAACTGCTCTGTCAACAGAGGAATCAGAAAAAAACCCTGGTGACTAAAACTGGAACCAATGTGGGAAGGGAGATGCTGGCTCTGAAACCAGTCAGGCATAACCTTAGGAAGGCAGCAGAATGTTAACTGAACTTGCTGCTAATCACTGAGGCCTAAGGCACTTGCCTTTGGCTCCCACATCCCAAGAAGTGGAACTCAAACCCCACGTTGGTTAAATAAAGAAGACCCATCCATTCCTAGTGAAGAATGTCAGAGAAACAAGCTGCATTGGCTCAGGGATGCCCAGGAAGGCCAAGCAGCAGCTACTCACAGTTTTATAGAAGGCTTTCGACTGTGTTCCTAGTACTTCCGATTTGGACACCAAATCATCAAGCTTCTCTCCTCTCTCTAACAAAGACTCCATGGTGTTATGCTGGACAAAAGAGAGAAGAGAATTCTGAGCTTCGCTCAGTAAGTGACTGTTGACAAGAGGCCCTTGGGGAAGCTCAATGGCTAAAGAAGTACCTCCTCTGGACCCCTACCCAATAGACACCACCAAGCATTGGGACTGGGTCCCAGAACTTGCTCCCAGTCAGTCGAAAGAGCAGGAACTGGTAGCAGTCCCAGGGAATTCAGTTCTCACAGTCTCCCCAATATTTTTCCCAGCATAGATTCAGATAAGTGCCATTTTAAGAAAGCTCATATATTTACATATCTGTATTTCTACTTGTATGCATGTGCGTACACACATGGAGGGAGGCTTTTATGTGAAGAGAAAGACATACACAAGTACTATATGACTGTACTAGGGATGGATAGTGGCCACCCCAAATTCACCTCCACTCAGAACCACTGAATGTGACCTTATTCAGAAACAAGGTCTTTCCAAGTACCACTAGTTAAGAGGAGAGCTAGATCAGGTTGGCCCTAACCCAATAACTAGCAACACCTATAAAAACAGAAATGTAGATACTCCAAGAAGCCATGTGGTGATGGAGGAGAAACTGAGGTGATGCATCTTACAAACTAAGGAATACCAAGAACTGACAGCAGCTAGAGAAGCCAGAGTGAGGCCTAGAACAGCCTTTCCCATAGCCCCAAAGAACCACCAGCCTGGCCCAAACCTTGATCTGAAACTCCCAGCCTCTATGAGAGGGTGCATTTCTGTTGTTTTGGAGTGTATAGTTTATGGCTATTTGTTAGCAGCTATAGGAAAACTAATACAGTGGGAAAGCTGTGCCATCTGGCCCCAGAGCCACAAAGCTACCAAAGAGTCCTACCATGAAAACACAACCAATTTCAGAGACTCAGGCTCAGTATTATTAGTGACTTTTTATACTGATGTCATAGTGGAAAGATACTTGAATATTAAGGATTAAATAAAAAAACATTAAATTTCAACTGTCATCATTTTAAAATATGGGCCCCTCAAAATTCAGAATTACATACACAATTCATATATCCAATGAATTATACTCCCACTGATGGCACCGTAAGAGAATACATCCTGCTTCCTGAAATGACCTTTATCCTACCGTCACTACAAACTCTGCCCTGAGGAAGCAGGAATGCCGAGGAGCTTCAGAAGAAGCATAGAGATGGAGGCCCCCAGAAGAACCAGAGGCCTGTCTGCCTGGTTCACAATGGAGATGCTTATTTTCCCCCCTAAACAGCCACTGCTAGGGCAGCTGTACACATATGTGAAATGGTACCAACTGAGGAATCAGCAAAAGTGCCTTGTATTCCCGTACACAGCTGAGAAATTCAGATAATAAAAAAAAATGTTAGCTGGAAGGCTCAGTGGTAGATGCTTGCCTAGCATGCCCTAGGACCATATATCCTCAGCCCGATCCCCTCTAGTTAGTGAGTGCTGTGACCTAAGATACGGTACACAAGGGAGAGTCTGATGAATTTGGTGGGATAGCAATCAATCACCATTTCCTGGAGCATGCTGTGGTTATCACTAAAATAAGAATTGACTCTGTGTGTGATTGGTCAGTGGCATGTCCCTTGGTTCTCACATTTGTTCTCCACCTTCCTGCTTACCAGAATGATTTTAGTCTCATCCAGTTCGGCCTGTACTTTACTCATGGGATCAGCTTCTCGGGGATTCTACGAAAGAGCCAAAACAAGAACAAAGTTAACACTGGAGCAGCTACCTGTAAACAAACTCGAACCAAGGAAGCCATGCCAACTTCCAAAATAAGAAGGCACAGCCTTTGAAAACACACAACAGAGAGACAAAAGGCCTGCCTGTAGCTGAGACTTACAGGTCTGAAGGCATTTCTGTGTTTTTCAAAATAGAAGGTTCAAGAAAGAACTCTAGGAACAGAAAAGGCACCAGCCTTGAACTACCATGATTGCTGACCTTTTCAGAATCACAGATTCTGAGCCATGCAGTCTCTACAAGCTTTTTTTTCAAACCCACCTGGTATCTACTAAGGTGACCATCCAGGGCTGTATACTGGATTGTGGCAGGGGTTCCCACTGGCCAGTCTATCCTGTCGACCTGCTCGGAGAATTCATCTAGTACCTGCAAGACAAAGGTGACTCAACAGTTCTCCCACCTATGCCTCCCAGGCTTTAGTGACTTGGCTTTAGCCCGAGCGCTCATCCCAAATGAGGCTTCCAGCTTCCCCAAGGTCCAGAGAAGGAAGAAGAGGCAATCAAACGGCAAGGGAACAGTCTAGGTTAAAATTCCTCTTTCTGAGGCTGGAGAGATGGCTCAGCGATTAAGAACAGTGACTGTTCTTGCTGAAGACCCAGGTTTGATTTCCCACATGGCCACTAACAACTGTCTAACTCCAGTTCCAGGGGATCCAACAGCCTCTTCTGTCCTCCGTGGGCACTGCACGACAAGGGTGTACTTACATACATGCAGGCATAACACTTACACACATAAAAAATTAAAAAATAAAAATAAATAAATAAAAATAAACTAAAAAAAATTTTTTAATTCCTCTTTTTGTTGGGCATGGTGGCACATGCCTTTAGTTCTAGCACTTCAACACTTTAGTTTCAGCACAGAGGCAGAGGGAATCTCTGTGAGAGTGAGGCCAGCCTGGTCTACATAGGGAGTGCAAGGCCAGCTGGGGCTTCAGGGAAACTCTGTTTCAAAAAAAACCAAAAAAATTTCCTCTTTTCTATGATTAAAACACATCCTAAGAAATCTGGGAATCAAAAGTGAAGCATACCCAGCTAACACTATGGGGAATGGAATGAGAAGTCTTTACTTTTATAATTAGAAGCTACATGCTCAAGTACTTTGGAACAGCTGACCTACATCAAGGGAGAGAGCTTAGTTACAGGAAGAGAGCTTAGATCAACAGGAAGAGAGAAAGAGACTGTCAACAGAAGCACAGGGAGAGGATGGCATCTGTGGCCCTATCACAGAGGAGAGGTACTACAACCCAGTTGGTTAGATACAGGTGACATGAGGGGCAAGTCAGCACCATGGAGGAAACATAGGCAGGAATGCCAAATGTCTCCTGGTTTGGTTGGGCGGGGGGGGGATGATGGCTGAAAATGTGGCCTCTGGATCAATCATTCCTTGTGCCTCAGGCACTGTCCACCATGTTTTACACTTGGAATCCTACTCCAGTCCAGCCACACACTCACCTTCTCCAGCAAGGTAAAGGCCACTCTGGATGGGTATTCGCTGTCAGCAATGACCACACCTGCAAGACTGTCGTTCCGGACATAGACATGGCAAAGATACTCTAAGGAGAAAGAGATCACACATGTAGTCAGTGGCATGAAGGCTTCAGACTGTTTTTAATATGCTAAATCAGTCAAAATATCACAATACTACCTCTTGCTCTCTGAATTAAAGTCTCTCTGAAACTCAACTGCTGAGGGCAAGGTCTACAGAAAGGCTCTATACCACAATTCCAAGGACCATACCTAGGAGCTCAGACAATACCTGCTTAGGTCCCCAGAGACTTTGTGTGCACAAGGTTAAAATGAGCTGCCAGGGATGGAAAACAGACCACAGGCAGTGTCTCCAGGAGCAATTCTAGATCACTGCCTTGAATTCATGTCAGGCATGGCTACATTTTAGCAACTGATGGCCCTTTGAAGCTCTGTGCTGCTTCCAAATTGAGGGAATACTAGACAAGATGCCTTTACTTTCTCAAGATAATCTTTTCAGAATAGCCAAAAAACAGAAAGCTACCTCCCAGGGCCTCAGTCTTGTGTATTAAGGCAAGACCACTTGATCTGCTTCAGCTTGTGGTGGGTGACTAGGGAGAACTGTCTAGAGAAAGCTTAGCCACTGCTGGCTGAAGTCTCCCAATTTTATTGCACTGAAGTTGTCATATGGTCAAAGGGTATGGTTTGTAGAGGGGCTCTGCAAAATAGTCATAATCCACCAGATTGTTGATTCCCATAACTCTGAAAGGATTTAGAGATGGCATGGCTAACCACGTCCCTAAAGAGAAACATAAAGATGACAGCTCACAAACAATAACCTTATCCTTAAAAATCTGAACCGATGACTTCAATGCTAAACAACAGACAAACAAAAGAGAAGATAAGCAGAAAGACAGAGATCAATAAGAACAGAGGGGAGGTAGAATAGAGAACTATCATCTGATTTTGTATACATTCCCAAATAAGAATGATTCAAATATGGGGTCAAAGTGCACATACTCCATAGAAACTGAGATGCTTGTCAGCATATGAGCAATGTCTTTTAAGTGATAAAATAGAGAAGGGCGGACAGAATGGAGAGAACTGAGAGAGAACACCAATATGTTCACGATTCAACTGTACTTCCATGATCTTCACAGCAGAGACTCTTCATGGAGTATATATGTCAATATCATCTATAATGTTAAGTACTATCTGTATCATCAATTCAGTAACTCCAAATTTGTCTGTGCAATTATAAGTCTAAAATAAATGCCTAAAAACTGATATTAAAAAAATGAATTATGAAGCAGAGAAAGGAATGAGTTTTCAAATTAACCCCCCCCCAAAAAAAACTAAAGTGCACAGAATACAGTATTATCTCATGAGTGCCAGCTAGAAATCCTTTTATGAAACTCTATAACTCTGACTAGAAAGGGATGGCTGCTTACTGCTCCAAGAAAATCAGACACTATTACTTCCCAGCCTTCTGGTTAAGATCAAGTGGAGAATCAGATCTGAGTTCAAGTTTTATTGTTTTTTTTTTTTGGTTTTTTTTTGGTCTTTTTGAGACAGGGTCTCTCTGTAGTCCCAGCTAGGCTGGAACTCGCTATGTAGACCAGGTGGGCCTCGAACTCAGAGATCCACCTGCCTCTGCCTCCCCAGTGCTGGGATTAAAGGCGTATGCCACCATGCCTAGCCAAAACCATTTTATTATTTTTATTTTTATGTGTATGAATTTATTGCCTGCATGTATGTAAGTGTACTTGTGTCATGCAATGACACTGAAGGTCAGAAGAGGGAATTGAATTCTCCTGGAACTGGAGTTACAGACAGTTGTTAGGAGCCATGTGGGTGCTGGGACTTGAACCTGAGTCCTCTGCAAGAGTAGCCAGTGCTCTTACCCATTGAGACATCTCTCCAGCCCAAGTTCAAGTTTAAAACAATTTTTTTTAGAGAAGTTTACCTGTAGCCTCAGCTGGTCCAGAACTTGCTATTAGACCAGGTGGGCCTCAATCTCAGAGACCTCCCTGCCTCTGTCTCCCAAGTGCTGGGATTAAAGGCATGCATCACCACACTTGGTTTATGGGTACAAGTTTTAGAAGGAATTTTATACAGTAAGCTTAGACTTCAACACTGGGTATAGAATTCTGCATATATAGGAAAAGCAAGAAGAGAAAACAAGATAGAGTATCAGGGTCTTGGTAGCATTTGGTGCTGATAGCTATGTGCTGTCTGAGGTGTGACAGCCAGGTCAGCATACACTCAGAAGGTGGTGAATCCTCTTACCTTGTTCTTTGACAGAAGCTCTGCTGCCTTTTGCTGAGCGTTCCACAATCAGTTCACTTGTGAAGGTCATGAATTCCTGAACACTAAGAAGCACAACATATATTTATTCTTAATGTCACCTTGTCCCTAACAATGGAAAGTGACCTCTGAGGTTTTAAGTTAAAGAAACATTGCCTCTTAGTTTACTTCATTCCCTCCCAACTTTAGAAACAATAATAAAAATATTATAAATGAACACAAATGCATACACTACCATTCAAATCATATCATATCTGTGTGCCAACTCGCAAAAAAAAAAAAAATCCAGATTCTTGGGAAATTTTCTTTAGGCTACAGTCAATTTAACATTTTGGTCAAAACATGATTTGAGGGCTGGCAAGAAGACTTGTTGGGTAAAGGCACCTGCTGTCAAGACTGACAACCTGAAATTGATCCCTGGGACCCACCTGGTAGAAGAGAACGGACTCCTACATGATGTTCTCTGACCTCCATATGCACACCCACCCACCCCTACACACATTAAGAAAATCAATGTGATTTGGGACCTAGTGAAAATGTAGGAAGCAGCTCCTGTTTTCAAAGTCCTACTAATTTCCAAGAAACAGGATAAATATGTATCTCTATAGAAAAATACTAGTGACCAAAAATGTCAGGCAGATATACACTAGTTAGTGCTGTGGCCACAGGACAGACCCTGGCAATGCCATATACCGCCACAGTGACAGCTAGCTCAGGTCTGCTGGGACCCTAAGCACTATGGAAGAAATAGAAGGAAAAGGCTTAACCAAGTGGGGAAATCACTCATACAAAGCTGAAAGAAAAAGGTTTGCCATAGCCCAACAGAAAGATTTGGCCAGAATGGTACAGACTGAGGAGATGGTCCAGCCAGAGGATAAGAAGCCTTTAACTGGAGATGTAATATAAAGGTAGCCAAGGTCATCAGTACAAGGCTCTTAACTGGGAATCCAAGTCATACAATATCTGAAGACCTAATTCTGGGAGTTCAAGTCTTACTAGGCATCAGGCAAATTACCATGTTGTGCCTCTATAGTAAAATCAAGTCTGGTGTGGCAGTTTAATGAAATGTTAAGTACAAAGCACGTGGTACTGTTCTGGCACTCCCTCCTCCCCCTCCCCCTTCCCCTCCTCCTCCTCATTAATATCACGAAGGAAGAATATTTTCAAAATAATCATAGAAAAAGTATTCTTAAAAAGTTAAATCCTCAAACAAGAAAGTTTTTGCAATAAAACTAAAAAGATGGTGTCTAGAATAGGACAATTATCTAATTAGAAAGAACTGCATTAACTGTGAGAGCCCATCTTCAAGGTCCAAAAAAGCTGAGAAACTACTCAAAGATTTTAGTAGTCATGGAGGATGAAGGAGGGAAGTGAAGTGGTCTCACCCAGCTGGAACATGTGTTAAGAGGCTCTAGGAGATGTCTTTCTGTGTCACTGCTAGTCACCTCAGACTAGGGTGGGGAGCCCAAAGAAGCGAGATGTTAAGTGCTACAGTGAAATCTCTGAGCATCTTTGGTATAAATAGAAAGGAAAAAATAAAGAGAACAAGAGCCAAGTATAAAGAGAACAAGAGCCAAGTTGGAACCAAAGGTTCCATCAGAGAAAAACAACAGAGCACAGACCAGAGGCCAAAGTATGTGAAGCTAAGAATCAGGAACAACTTTGAGAAGGAGCCAAAAGATGACACAATTCCTCTTCTGGGTACATATACCATAAAAATCTGTAAGCTAGGTTTTTGTGTATGTGTTTCTGTGCATGCTATGTGGTATACATTTTGTGTGCAAGTACACATGCATGTATGTGCATATGGTTTTAATCCTCAGGAGCCATCCACCTAGTTTTTTGAGACAGAGTCTCTTATTAGCCTGGAGTTCATAGAGTAGGCTAGACTGGATGGCTGGCCATCAAGGCCAGACTCCTGTCCTCTGGTCTCCTGCTTTGGAATTACAAGCATGTGCCACCATACCCAGCTAACAGGGATCAAACTCAGGTCCTCATGCAACATGCTCTTTCCCCACTGAGCTATCTCCACAACGCTATTTCCCAACAACTTGTAATCTGGGTTTTACAGAAAAATGTATACACTCATACTCACAGCAGCATTACTCATGAAAGCTACACTGTGGAGGAAACTCAAGTGTCCATCGGCAGATGGATGGGGTAAGCAAAATACAGTGCTTACATACTATTAAATATTGTACAGATTTTAAAAGGAAGGATATCTTGATATCTGCAACAACATACATGAACCTTGGGGACATTCTGCTAAGTGAAATCAACAAGACAAAAAATACTATATGATCCCACTTGTATGAAGTCTTTAGAACAGTCAAAATCAGACAGAAAGAGCAGCAGTGGCTAGGAGAGGGAAGGAATAGGAAATTAGTGTTTAATGGATGCAGTTTCAGTTTTACAGGATGAAAAGTTATGGAGATGGACAATGCTGATGGCTATACATTATGGACACATTTAATAATACCAGTCAACTGTACAAGTAAAATGATTAGGATGGCATTTTACTATGTCTATTTTATGACAATAAAAAAATAACTCAAAAGAAGCAAAAAGTTTCAACAAAATGATAGATTGTTTTAGATCCAGCCAGCAAGGCCCTGACAAAGCACTCCCTTCAGGAACAGTTGTCCTGAAGTCGGCAACAGAATCCGAAAGGCAGATTCCACCAAATTGAGCCAAGACGACCCTGCGGGGTCCTTCTCCTCTTCTGAGTCACTACCCGCTTCCAAATGGACTATGATGCTCCTAACAACAAAAGCAGCCCAGAAACACGCAAGGGCCTGGAAACCCTACAAGCCAACGCTTCCCTGCAAACTTCCAGCGTGAACCCTCTGGATAAGACAGAACAGACTCTGCCGATGCCCAGTACCGTGCGGGATTCGAGGACTACCTCACAGGGCAATACCGGGGAGTGCTGTGACCTCCTCAGACACAGTCCGCTGACGGAGGAGGAGGCCGAGGCCGGGCTCCCTCCTCGGCAGCCCTCGACAACGACTCCCGGCGCTGCCCGACCCAACCCCAACGCCAGACCTCTGCGTGGCCGCCTGCTGCCCCCCCCCTCCCCCGCTCACCTAGACCTCTGGAAGAAGCTGAAGGAAGACACATCGTACGCGGCTTTGAGCAGCACTGCCTTGGGCTCGCTTTTGTAGAGTACGCTGAGGCTGTACAGCTTCATGGCGCTGCCACCTCGGTCCCCGTGGGGTCCGCTCGTTCACGGCCGCACCGCCGCCGCCCCACGGAACAGCGGCGGCCGGCTGCTGACGGGGCCGCACCGGCTTCTTCCTCCTAATTGCGGGCTCACTTCCGGTTCGGTCAAGCGCGTCGCTGGACGCCTAGAGCAGACGCTACGCGTGCGCATGCCTAAGCGCCTGTACGCGTATAAGCGGTGGGACGCATGCGCACCACCACAACCTTGCTTGGTGCTGCAGGTTAGGGTTTCGCCTGCGTGGCATCCCATGGTGCCTTCCCTTCCGGGCTATCCGTGAACCCTCGCGGGCCGAGCTAGATAGTGCTAGGTCGTCCTAGTCGCTTTTACCTCCCCTTCCGGCTAGGAGAGGAACCCATACCTCTTCCTATAGTGAGGTCCAGAGCAGCTCCCAAGGCGCCGGTTCTCTGTAAACCCTGCCCTTAACTCAGCACCGGTCTAACCAGCCCTCTTCCCTGGTTATCCCAAGTGCAGAGAAAGAAAAGAATCGTCCCCGTTCCTTCCATCGTGGTACTAACCATCAGAAACGGTCACTGGCTTGTGCCAAGCCCAGCAGCCCAAGTCCGTCAAACCAGGTAGCCAGTCCCGTCCGCCTGCACTGACGTTGCTCTACAGCAGGCAGATGAGAGCGGTTTCTGAAAATCTTCAGAGACTTGTCCTTTGCCCAAAGTTGTACAAAGGGAGAGAGGGAGGGAGAGAGGGAGAGGGGGAGGGGGGAAAAGAGAAAGATTAATCCCAGAGAAAAAGAGGGAAAGAAAGAGGAAAGAAAGAGAGGGGAAAAAAAAGGATTAATCCCACAGAACAAGAGGCAAGGAAAGGGGAATGAAGAAAGAGAAGAAGGAAGAGAGGGAAGGAGGCAGGAAAGAGAAAGAAAAGATCCCAGCACTCCAGAGGCAGAGGCAGGCAGATCTCTGTGAGATGGAGGACAACCTGGTCTATATAGTGTGTTCCGGACCAGCCAGGGCTACATAGTGACACTGTTTCAAAAAAACCCAAAACAACCCAAGAAAGTAAGAGGCAGAGCTGGGGTTCAAATGTGAACACTAAAATGCTTATTAGCAAACTCATGGCCCAGCTCCCGTCCTGGGCAACTCTCCCACCCTTCTGATTTTGCTCAGCCTCCAGTGGCCCCAAGAAGCCTCACTGAGTCATATGCAAACTTCCCAAGATTATTCATGTGTTGCAAAGCTATACTTGTCATCCACTCCATTGCCCCAGCTGATACTCAACTTGAATTCAGTCTCAGCATGTCCACATCACAAAAATGAGCATTCTCCCCTCATCATCTTGAAAGACATTTTGTAAGCATGTTGCTGAAAACTATAAAATATATTCCAAGTTCTACCATTGCAGATGTTTAACCGGTAACAATAATGGTTGCTTGAATTGTTACCTATCTCTAATGACAAAAGAACTAGAGATCATGATAGGTTGAAGGGGTCCTACAGGATGTTGGAAGCAGAAATTTAAAAGTAGGCTGAGATGTAGTCTATAGATTAGATAGTAGTACTGTATTTGGATTTCCTGTTTTCAGTAACTGCTGTTATATAAGAGAATTCTCTTATAAGTAAGGGTAAAAGAACATTATGTGTACAACTTAAAGAGTTCAAATACAGATACATATGTATACCTGCATATATGTATATCTACATGTATGTATGTATACATATATATTTTTATCCATATATGTTTCAAAGACAAAGAAAATTCAGTAAAGAAATTTTAAGGAATCCAGAGGCAGACTATCTAGGAATTCCTTGTACTGTTCTTGTAATGGTTCTGTAAGTCCCAAATTACGGGAACAGAAAAGATTGCGGATAAAGCACTGAAGTGAAGTGGTAAGCACAATATGCAGTCGTGGAGTGGCGTAGCTCTTGAACCCAGCCTCTTCCCTTGAGTGCTGGGCTCTAGAAGCCTCTTTGCAGGAATGGTGAGATGGCTCAGTGAGTAAAGGCATCTGCTGCCAAGCTTGACAGCCTGAGTTCAATCCCCAGGACCCACATGGTAGAAGGAGAGAACCAGTTCCCATAAGTTGCCCTCTGACCTCCACATGCATACTGTGACATGCATGCCCTTGTCCAACAATAAATAAATTTAAATGTAACTTAAAAAGCCTTTTGCAGACAGAGCTGGAATAACAATGTCCATAACCAAAGGCCCAGACTCTGTGACTCTGCCTACTGGATAATGCAAACATTCACCTACCATTGCAGCTTTGCCCACCTCACAAGAAGTGCTTATCCTGGCTGCACAGCGGAGCCCATAGGGAAGCAGGAGGGCATTGAAAGGGGCCACCTATGTGGGCAGTCCTCTGTAAGACCACATACCAAGTTTCAGGTGCACAGATTTTTTTTTCAGTGTGAAAGGATGGATCCCAGGGCCTCATACATAGTAAGCAAGTCTCTTCTACCAAACTACATCTCTGGCCCCTACCCACAGATTTAATACCATGAATGCAATTTCTGATCAGACCTGAACCCCAGGAACAGCAGTCACTACCATAATCCCTCATAAGGTGTCCCAGTTCCCACTGGGCTCTTCAAACCACAGGAAAGGCAGGCATGGTCTGCTACCACGTCTTATTTCGGTCACTGGCTATATCAGTGCAAAGGAGGGGCAGGGACAAGACTGTACTTGGGCAGGAAGGGATCACAGCCAAGGAAGACCCAAGCCATGAACCATGCAGGAGCTTTTGGAATTAGTGAGACAGGTGTTTATATTTTGAGACTGCCTTCCTTACAGGTCCTTTCCAGATGTTCCAGTTGTCCTAGAGACAGCCCTCCCCAACTAAGGTGCTAGCCTCATTGGAAAAAGGCCAGAAATGAGAAATCAGGATACATGATCATTTAGACAGGAAACTTATCTTGTCCATGGTACTTGATGGCTGTGGATCAACTCTACACAGCAAGTAGAAGAAAATCTAAAGAGAAAACAGAGATGAGCAGGCAGGAGAGCCTGCAGGGGTGACCCCACTGTACAACCCTGTACACACTTGTCACAGCCTCAGTGGGTAGGAGTCACACCTGAGAACAGGAGTATGCAGAGAAAGGGCAGGAAAGTGAGATATACCCTCAGAAGGCTAGGCATACCAACCTCAGCTTAACACATGATGGCAGCAATCACAGAGGAAGAGTCCTTACAAGGAAACTACACTGTGAACTGTGGATGCTACTGATCCATGTGGCCTTTCTGCCACATGCTGGCCCAGTCCTGAGTTAGTCAAGGAGCATCTCTATTGCTGCAGTCATTGATTAATAGATGGGCACTTGACCTGACTTCACCAAACCAGCACTGGCTGTCCAGGAGGCTCCTACATCACATCATACATAAAGCTGTCGTATTACTTGTGGGAACAGATAAGAAGAGTGAACAGAGCCAGTATTAATGCCATCAGAATGACCCGATACTCAGCCACTGAAAGACTAAAGTATTAGATTTTTTTTTAATTTTTAAAAAAGTAAGGGCTAGAGCCAGGCGTGGTGGCGCATGCGTGTAGTCTCAGCACTTGGGAGGCAGAGGCATGTGGATCTCTGTGAGTTCAAGGCCAGCCTGGTCTACATAGTGAGTTCCAGGACAGCTGGGGCTACAGGGAGACCCTGTCTCAAAAAGACCAAAAAGAAAAAAGTAGGGGCTAGAGAAATGGCTTGGTGGTTGAGCAGTTACTACTGTTGAGAGGACCAGGGTTCTGTTCACAACATCCATACAGTGGCTCAATCATCTGCAACCCCAATTCCAGGAGATCCAACATCCTCTTCTGGCTTCCATGGGCACTGCACACGTAGTACACATACCTACAGGTAAAACACCTATACACATAAAAAAGGTTTTGGAAAAATATTAGAATGAAATGTAGGAGAGCAATTTTATTTTTTAGATTTAAAATGAATTTTCAATTTATTTTTTAAATTTTGGCTTGAAAGGCTTTTTTATTTCAGCCTTTTTGAGATAGGGTCTCCCTGTAGCCACAGCTGGCCTGGAACTCACTATGTAGACAAGGTTGGTTTTGAACTTACAGAGATCCACCTACCTTTGCCTCCAAGTGCTGGGATTAAAGGTGTGTGACACCACTCCTGGCCTTGAAAAGGTTTTTCTTAAAAAACATTAATCCTCAGATAAGAAAAGATTGGAATTCCTAAAAGCTGGATATTTCTGTATGATGAAAGACACTACTAATGGGGTTGGAAATTCAGCAACAGATTATGAAATACAATACTTGGAAAACAAAAAAATTATTAGCTATTTTAGATGGAATATAAAAGCAGTTTCCACAACTGATAGCTAGAAAACACTTTAATAGCAACATAGTTATCAAATAATCTTTAAAAGAAGAAGTACAAGCTGGGTGTAGTGGCACACGCCTTTAGTACCAGTACTCAGGAAACAGAGGCAGGCAGAGTTCTATCAGCCTGATCTACATAGTGAGTTCCAGGCCAGCTGGAGCTACAGGGAGACCCTGTCTCAGAAGAGAAAGAAAGAAGGAAGGGAGGGAGGAAGGGAGGGAGGGAAGGAGGAAAGAAGTATAAAGAATTAGCTAGTTGGGAGAGGACAGAAGAGAGGATGGGGGTGTGAATATGAGTGAATGGATGATACACTTGAATGAGAATGTCATTGTGTAAACTGTCACTTTCTACACTGAATATATAGACTAATAAATATTTTAAAGAGCAAAATAAAATAGGCATAGAAAAAGGTATCCATCATGTCACAGTTCAAACTATAAGAAGACAGATCAGTGACAAAAAGATTTGGGACTGGAGAGAGAGTTTTGCTATCAAAAGCACTGGACTCAGGTTTAATTCCCAGCACATGCATGGTGGCTCACAACCATCTGTAACTCCAGTTATACCCTCCTTGACCTCTTGGCACTCACATCGTACATTACATACATGCAGGCAAAACTCTCATACACAAAAATAAAAATAAATATATCTTTTTTTAAAACACAAGGACTTGGGGCTGGAGAGATGGCTCGGTGGTTAAGAACACTGGCTGTTATTGCAGAAGACCCAGGTTCAAATTCCAGCACCCACATGGCAGCTACCAGCTGTTGGTAACTCCACTTCCAGGGGATCCAACAGCCTCTTCTGTCCTCTGCTAGCATTGCACGACACGGGTGCACTTACCTACATGCAG